TTCATCCAGCTCTACACCTTGTTATCTCAGATTCTCCAACATCTGCAGTTCCTGCTATCTCTAGTGCTAGAAAAGGGCAGGTTGTAACACAGATAGTAGGTTGTAACACAAACAACTTTTGGTATATATGATTTACATCAGCAAGTTCAAAAGTTCTTACATATTTAATATGTAACAAAATCTAGGCAAAAATACTACACACAAAGGTGCATGTTTTAACAGCACTCATTATTTTTAAATGTACTTTTTTTTGCATTTAATATGTTCAGCATAACCCCTTCAAATTAAGGCTTCACATATTTTCCTGATAAGATGGTTGTTCTCTGTGTGATATTATATTTGAGGTTTATGACATACAATCCAATTACCTTTTTCAAATGAGTTTATTATGATTTATTCTGAATATTTACAACATCTGCAAGGATTGAAAAAAAAGAAATTTTCCTTTGACAAAGCCCGCGATGTTGATGCGTACTCAATGGAATTGCATTACAGCCAACACAAGTTCGCGTTTCAGAAATGGCATTCCCCTAATCGTCAATCACGTTAGAGCCGATTCGCATTGCTGAAACACGCGTTAAGCAGAACCTCCTGTATTCCCTAGATAGAAATTTAGCATATGATGTGAATTCACTATGAAGCTCACGCTTTCTGAAGAATTTGATTGCTTAAAAATCCAAATTAACTTTAAGAGCATTTTATTAATTTTTACGGAACAGCAGATAGTTTGCATGTTTGGTGAAGTATATCACTGTACGATTTAAATCTGCATTGATAGTCATCTCAAGCATTTTAAATTGAAAGCTGGTCAAAAACACAAATATCTAATATTGTTCCCTTCACCCAGTGTCAGGAATTTTTCAAAAGGGGAAATCATATTGACCCTATGGTAGTAGCATGTTAGTAAATTACACTAATGCAACCCACCATAGGTTGCCCTCACATCAGTATTTGAAAGTATGTTTAGTGAATTAAAATACAGCAGTCATGAATTAAAATACAGCAGTCTTCAAAAAAATTAGATTTCAATTGTTTTGTGTATCCATAAAGTGTATGAATCATTATTAGCTCTCAATAAAACAAAGTTACAAATGCCCTAAATCATAAGCAAGATAATAATATCTACTATCTACTAACAAATTTTCTTCATAAAATTATGCATAATTCAAATCAGATCTAAGAGATGGAATATTGTGCACAATAAAGCAGAGGATATATTGCTACAGTAAAGAAAAATTACTGCAGCAACTTTTTGTTTTAGATGACTTAGTTAACCATTGTGACTGAGACCCTCAGAAGTAGGAGGAGCCAGCAATTCATCCCTTTGAGTTTACTCTGCCATTGAATAAGTCCAGAGATGATCTTCTACCTTAATTCCATCTTCCTACACTGCCTCCATGTCACCAATTCTCTTAGTAACCAAACGTCCATCAACCTTTATCCTGAATATACTTAACAACTGATCACATGCAGCTTCCAGGGTAGAGTTCCAAACATTTAAAACCTGTTGATTGAGGATATTTCTGATTTACACCCTAAATGGCCAAATCCTCATTTTGAAACTGTGAGCCCAAGTTTTAGACTCTCCAGGCAGAGGAAACAACCTCTCAGCATTTATCTCAGCACTCAGAATTTTACACGTTTCACTGTGATCACCTCTCATTCTCATAAATCTTAAAGAATATAAACAAATATATCCCTCCTCAGGTAAGATTTGAATCCAAATTGCAATCCAGTGAGAGGAAGGTCATAATGAAAGTTCAAAGTAGAATGAACTTAAGTGAATTGCCTCAACCCAGATTTAAATGGAAAACTATTCATAATTCAATATTATTTAACATTACATTCTCAGTCTCATTCACATGTTGGTGTCACTGAAAATGAAACTGCAATATTGGTGCAGTGAGGTTCACAATGCAGAAAGACCTTAATTTATAAAGCGCTTTTCACTACCACTGAGCATCTCAAAACACTTTACAGCCAATGAAGTACTTTTGTTTTGAAGTACAGTCACTGCTATAATGCAGAAAACACAGCAGCAAATTTGCATACACCAAATTACCACACAAACAGCTGCTAAAGTTCACATAAGTTATTTTTCTGTGATGCTGATTTAGGGGCGAATATTGGTCAGGATGCAGAGTATAATTCACTTGCACTTCTCTGAAATATTGTAATGCCATAGGATTTTTTTTATTTCCACCTGAAAGGACATATGAGCCTCAGTTTAATGTGGTACCTTCAACAGTGCAACACTCCTTCTGTAATTGCACTGGAGTGTCATAAAATCATAGAGGTCTACAGCACACAAAAAGGCCCTTTTACTCATCGAGTCTGTGCCAAGCAAAAGCAAGCACCTAGCTATTCTAATCCCATTTTCCAGCATGTGGCCTACAGCCTCGTATGCCCTGGCATCACAAGTGCACATCTAGATAGTTCTTAAATATTATGATGATTTCTGCCTCTATCACCATTGCAGTTAAAGTTCTAGAACCCCATCATCGCCTGGGTGCAAAAAACACTTCCTCACATCCCTTTTAAATCTCCAGCCCCTTATGTTAAATCTATGCCCATGAGTGTATAAAGCACTATCAGCTTCATTGATCCCTTTACCAAGGGGAAAAGTTCCTTCCTGTATACCCTATCTATGCCACTCATAATGTAATTTATCTCAATCATGTCTTCTTAGTCACATCTACTTCAAGGAAAAAAAAAGTCAGTCTATCCGATGTCTCTTCATAACTAAAACTTCCAGCCCAGGCAACCTCCAAGTAAATTTCCTCTGCCCCCCTCCAGGGCAATCACATCTCTCCTATGATGTGATTGATCTTTAGTGCTCAAGCTCTGGAATGAAAATCGAACCCAGAACATTGTGACTCAGAGACAAGTGAGTTACAATTGAGTCACAGTTGACAGACATAATCATATTTCCAAGCAGATGGCTCATGTCCTATCCACATTGGACCATTATACCAGATAGTAAAATATTGCATTCCCCATCACTGACATTTCTCATCTTGAGAATGACCAAGTAACCTGAAAATATATATTTTACAAGGAAGATTTATTGAATTTAAAATAAATACAAATCAAAACACAATCAGTCAACTGACAGCTCCTGCTACCCGACATTAAAAATTAACTGTTAAGTTATTGACTGCCTCTGGCAAATTGAGAATTGATTTTTCTTTGTGTGTTTTGAATCATTCCTGAGTGGAGTCATCCACTGACAAATTGGCCTTTACAGCCACAACCGACGATGTTCAACACAGAAGCGACATACTCCATGGGCACAGTTCAACGTCGCCAGAGATGGACGGATGCCATCAGCATCTCTGAATTACATTTAGGGCAGATGTGTGGTAGGATCTTGCATGAATCACTTCATGCAAGATGGAGTCAGTTCCATCCATCTTTGACAAAAGAAGAGATTTTGGAGACAAGTTTCCCCCCCTCTCACAGGCTCTTCTTTACTGAACTCTAGAGGGAATGGGGCAGTTTTCTAAAGCTTCGACTCATTTCCAGATGATGTAAACATGTTTACCTCAAAACCATGGGGCATTGCTATTCAATTCATTTTATGGGCTAACACCTTGCATTTGTGCTTCATGTAATACAAAAGCTTCTACATTCTGTGAACCCATTCAGGATAACGAGAAGTGTGACAGGTTGGGACCTTTCTCTGTTGTAGTGGTTTTTCCATAACCCCTTACCAAATCCCAATTGACACCTGTAACTGTGCAGCAACAAAGCAGTTGCCCTACCTTGGCACCAGAAACATGGAAAGACAATCTGTCCCATAGTTTGCTCTCAATCAAACTCATAAAAAGAGATGTGGTTACTATTATATTACTATTTGCAAGAGCACGCTGTCTGCCAACTGGCTTCCATACTTCCACAGTATGAACAGTACTTCGGCCATTCAACACTTCACAAACTGCTATGGTTTTCATTGCTCATCGCTTTCAGAGTTATCAACCATGCAGAACAAATATTAAATTCATACTAAAATAATGAACAAAATAGTGTGATAGCT